CCATAATATGATTAAGACTTGTATTTTATGCTTTTAATTAGTTAGTTAGGTTGAAGTCGTGTTAATTATGTGCATTGACTGAAAGTAGAAATAGAAAGCTGAAATGTGATGTTACGTACTTTGAAGACGTGTCGAACACCATTTGTGTGAAAATGGGGACATAAATAGATGTGTGTTTTTTTCCTTTCTAAAATATAAAAGTTTGAAATAGAACAATAGCCAGGTATCTCGTGAAATTCCACAAAATGGGGTTTAGAGAGGCCATAGTATATTGTATATGCAATCTTTATCACTATCTCTCCAAGGTAGAGAAACTATTTTCCGAAAGACCCTCAGCTCAAGCGAATCAAAACACTAATAAAATAGGTGGAGAAACATGGCAACTTATGGTAAAGCAATAAAGTAACAAACACAAAAAGCTCGTTACTACCTATTAATCTTTTCTTATCTGTTATCTTCATACTCTCCTATGTATACTGTATACATAATCTTTATCACTATCTCTCCGAGGTAGAGAAACTATTTTCTGAAAGACCCTAGGATCAAGCGAACCAAAACAGTAATAACTTTCTGACTTGGATGAGGTAGAGTAGTGGGAGAGGTGGTGGTTTCGGCGACAGTGGTGGAGGAGATCTCGGAGAGGGTGGTGGCTTTGGTGGTTGCTTAAGTGGAGGTGCTGGTGATGGAAAACAAAGTTGATTTGGATAAAAGAAATGAGTTAATGATTAAGTGGTACTGATCCGGTTAAAATTGAGTAATTTTAGTTGATTTGGGGCTTTCCATCCAATTGAGGGGCACATATGATGAAATTAATAACAGTTGGGGTAAGAATAACTTCATTATAACGATGAAGACATAGTGTGGGAATATCATAAGAAAACAACCCGCTGGAAAATTCAGTCACTAGAAAAGAGAAGGCAAAGAGTAAAATTGGAAAGGAACTTTGATTTAAATGAGACACATGATCATCATCTGCTCTTCCATCCAGAAGGTTCCATAATATTAATTTGTAAATATTAGTTTTCCTTATTTTGTTTTTATGAAAATTGTAATTACATGTTTGTTACAGATTAGCCAATTAGCATAGGACAACTGTAGAAGTTTGTTAGAAGTAGATTCTCAATGTATTATTTAAACACATTTTTGTACAGAGAATACATAGGGAAAATCCTTCATCCTATTCTTCTTCTCATTTTTTTCCTTTCATGGTATCAGAGCATAGACTCTACTGATATAAACCCTCAACATTTTTCTTCTAATTTCTCATGGGTGATCAAGATAATCCAATGCCTACTTCTACTAGGACTCGAAGCCTTCTTCCAACTGCTAATGCACCTCCCATTGAGCTAATTAATCCGGCTCACCCTTTTTTCATATCTCATTCTGATTCTCCAGGTACCTTGTTGGTGAACACAATATTTGATGGCAAACGAGGCATGTGGATAGCCTTAACCGCGAAGAACAAATCTGGGTTTATTGATGGATCCACCAAAGAACCTGAAGCTGGAACAGATCTTCACAGAGCTTGGTCCAGATCTAACAACATGGTAATCTCCTGGTTATTGAATTCTCTCTCTCTCGAAATTTCTGAAAGTGTTATCTATTACTCTACTGATATCTGGGCAGAATTGGAAGATAGGTTTGGACAGAGTTCTGGTCCACGACTCTTTCAGCTCCAAAAGGAACTTAGTGACCTGGTTCAAGGGTCATCTAATATTGCTGGTTACTACACCAAAATCAAACGACTCTGGAATGAGTTGGATACTTTGGACACCTTCAACTTTTGTCCTTGTGATTGTACCTGTGGAGCAAACGAGAAGAATATTAAAGCCAAGCAGGGTGAGCGTTTAGTTCAGTTTCTAATGGGTCTCAATGACTCTTATTGTGCTCCCAAAGGTAATATCTTGATAATTTCACCTTTACCCTCTATTTCAAATGCATTGCACTCTTAATCCAGGAAGAAAAACAAAGAGAGGTTCAGAATACACCAAAATTCCCTGGTGAATCTTCTTCTTTTGTTGTTGCTAACCAAGCCAATGTTGGACAAAGGTCTTTCTTTAATGATTTTAGGGCACAAAGAGGATCTTATGAGACAAGAAGTCTTCTCTCTTATGCAAGTATTGTAAGAAACCAGGGCATCTTATTGAGAAATGTTATAGGTTGCATGGGTTTCCAACAAATTTTAAATTCACTAGGCAGAGGACTTCTCAGAGTTCTGTTCAGAGAAATGCAGTGACCTCTAATGATGTTTTTGGAGATTCTTTCACGAGTGATATAGTGTCTACTGATCAGGCAAAGTTACTCACTGCAGAATAGTTAGCTCAGGTGATGCAAATGCTTCAACATGTGAAAAATAATGATCAAGGCACCAATAATTCTAAGGTCATAACTTCTGTTAATTGTGTTGGTATAACTTTATGCTCTAGTCCATTTTCCTTAAATTTACATGTTGATTCTAAGGGCTACACTAAACAAACTTGGATTATAGATTCAGGTGCAACAGAGCACATGAGTTATAATAAGGATTTCTTCTTCTATTTCAAGCCTCTGTCTAAGCCTATTTATGTCAATCTTCCTAATTCTCAGAAAGTCAAAGTTTCTTACTCAGGATCTGTCTAGCTTTCCCCTAATCTAATTATTCACAATGTGTTGTTTGTACCTAGTTTTCACTTCAATCTTTTGTCTGCCCATAAATTATGCAAACAACTTTCTAATATGTTAATTTTCATATCTTCTCATTGTTTCATGCAGGGCCCTTCAATGAAGAGGCCAATGATCCTTTGGTGAAAGTCAGAATGGTCTCTATCTTCTCAAGACTAGTCTTCCAGATCTTCCCTCTACAAATGCTAGCTCTAGTTTTCATTCCTCAAAGGATGTTACATCCAGTTTATCTTGTATTTCTTTTTCTGATATTAAGAGCAAGTTATGGCATGTAAGATTAGGGCATATACCCCTTTCAAATATCCAACACATTAATGAAATTTCAGTTTCACTTTGTTCTAAATTCTCTGTTCCTTGTTTTGTTTGTCCCTTGGCGAAGCAACACAAACTCCCTTTTCCTAGCAGTCACATTGCATCTAAACAAATTTTTGACTTAATTTATATTGATACTTGGGGGCCTTTTCAAACACCTATTTATGATGATTTTAAGTATTTTTTTGACCATTGTAGATGATTTTAGTAGAGGTACCTGGACATTTTTACTTTCCACTCAAAGCAATGTTTTTCCTATGCTCAAATCTTTTCTTGCTATGATTGAGAGACAATTCAACAAAAAGGTTAAAGTCATTAGATCAGATAATGCTTGGGAATTGGGGTCCAGTCAAGAGAATTCTAAATTTCTATCTTCTCAAGGGATAATCCATCAAACCTCTTGTGTAGCCACACCACAACAAAATGGTGTAGTTGAAAGAAAACACAAACATTTATTAGAAATATGTAGGGCTCTTTTGTTTCAATCTCATAATCCTCATAAATTTTGGGGTGATGCTCTTATGGCGACAACTTATCTCACTAACAGATGTCCTACTAAATTATTTTCTTTCAAGACTCCTTATGAAAGACTGTTTCAGCATCCTCCTACATACTCTCATTTGAAATGTTTCAGATGTCTTGTTTTTGGTTTTACTGCTACGCAAGGTAGATCTAGGTTAGCACCCAGGGCTGAACCTTGTCTCTTTCTTGGGTATCCTTTTGGCAAGAAATGATACAAGTTGATGTCTTTGCATTCTCAGAAGCATTTTGTTTCCAGAAATGTTAAGTTCTTTGAAGATATATATCCTTTTGCCACAATTCAACCTCATGTTTCCATTTTTCCTCTTAATACTCCTATTACTTCTGCATCCTATGACTATGTTTTTCCTACCAATCATTCACATCCTATTGATCCTAACTTTTCTAGTGCTCCTAACATCCATGATCTCCTACCTGAATCTCCTATTCCTACTTCTCCACTTTCAGTTTCTCCTCCAAATCCTATTGTTCTCAAGAAGTCCACTAGGTCTGTCAAGACTCCTGCTTACCTAGAGGATTACATTTGCAATAGTGTTTATCTCTCTAATGTTTCTGATATTTGCTTTTCTTCTCCTACTCATGTTTCTCCTTTTGCTTTTTCCGCCTTGTCTCAATCCAATCAAGATTACATCACCTCTTTATCCCATGTCACAGAGCCTACTTCTTTTTCCCAAGCTATTTCATACCCAAGTTGGAGAAATGCTATGACTAAAGAACTTGATGCTTTGATCACTAATGACACTTGGGAAGTGGTTTCATTGCCTGCTGGTAAGAAAGCCTTACCTACAAAATGGGTTTACAAAGTTAAATTGAACTCATCAGGTAGTGTTGAACGACTTAAGGCTCGTTTGGTTATTCGAGGCGACATTCAAAAAGAAGGGGTTGATTTTACCGAGACCTTTAGTCCTGTTGTGAAGATTACTACTATACGTTGTGTGCTTGCTATTGCAATTAAGAAGGGCCGGGGTTTATACCAATTAGACGTTAACAACGTTTTTCTTCATGGTGAATTAGATGAGGAAGTTTATATGAAGTTTCCAGTAGGTTTGGAAGTCACTGATCCTACTAAATTTTGTTGACTGAAGAAGTCTCTTTACGGCTTGAAGCAAGCTTCGGGACAATGGTATGCTCGTTTGACAGTAACACTCAAATTTAAGGGTTTTACTCATTCTTTAAACGATTATTCCTTGTTATAAAAATGCCATGATTCTTCTGTTTCATTTTTAGCTGTCTACATGGATGACATTCTTCTTACTGGCAACGACAAAGCAGAATTAGATGCCCTCAAATTGTTTTTTGGATTCTAAATTTAAAATCAAGGATTTAGGGGACTTGCATTATTTTTGGGTATTGAGGTCATCAGGGAGCCTCATGGTTTGATACTCAATCAACGTAAGTTTGTACTAGAGCTTTTGTCGGAATACAATTGTCTTGGCCTCAAACCTGCTCCTTCACCCTTAGATCCCACTCACAAGCTACATGCCAATATGGGCTCTCCTCTTCCAGATGCCACTGTTTATCGCCGTTTGATTGGACAACTGAATTTTTTAACTCACACTAGACCCGATATTTCTTTTTCTGTCCAATACCTTAGCCAATATATGCAACAACCTCACCAGGCACATCTTTCAGCTGCCCACAATGTTCTGCGTTATCTCCTTTCCGATCCAGGCTTAGGAATTTTTCTCAATTCTTCCCCATCTTTCACTTTGCTGGCTTTTTGCGACTCCGATTGGGCTACATTCCCCGACTCTCGCCGGTCAGTGAGTGGTTTCTACATCAATCTTGGGGGTAGTCCTATTTCTTGGAAATCGAAGAAACAAACTTCTATTTCACTTTCCTCTGCAGAGGCTGATACAGATCCATGCGGCGTGTTGTTGCAGAATTGACTTGGCTTGTCCGACTCCTCTCTGATCTCTCTCTTCCTCCTACTCTACCCATTTCCCTTCATTCCGACAGTCAGGCTGCAATTCACATTGCTAAAAATCCAATCTTTCATGAACGGACCAAGCATGTTGATTTGGATTGCCATTTTGTCCGGCAACAGTATCTCACAGGACTCATTTCCCTCTCTTTTCCTCCTTCCTCTTCACAAATTGCCGACCTTTTTACGAAACCTTTACCCAGTTCCTCTCATCGTCTTCCCTTGGACAAATTGGGTGTTCGTTCCTCCCCCTCCAATTTGAGGGGGGATGTTGGAATATCACATTCAGTCACCAGAAAAGAGAAGGTGAAGTGTAAAATTGGAAAGAAATTTTGATTTAAATGAGACACGTGATCATCATCTGCTCTTTCATCCAGAATGTTCCATAATATTAATTTGTAAATATTAGTTTTCCTTATTTTGTTTTTATGAAAATTGTAATTACATGTTTGTTACAGATTAGCCAATTAGCATAGGACAGTTGTAGAAGTTTGTTAGAAGTAGATTCTCATTGTATTATTTAAACACATTTTTTGTACAGAGAATACACCGGGAAAATCCTTCATCCTATTCTTCTTCTCTTTTTTTTCCTTTCACATAGTAAATCAATAAAACAAAGTTAGAGGGATATTTTTACTCTTTTCCCTAAATTTTCTAACCAAATGCCAAAATGCCTCAAAGTGCTACCAAAATCTATGGCCCAATGGTCCTAGATAGAGCACAATATCCAGCACCAAAGAGTGGACACGTGTTAGGCTAAATATTATCCAAGTGGACATGAATTTAAGGTACAAACGTCATGAGTTTAGAACCATTCAAAAATGTTCTTGTATTTTGTCGTTATGAACAGAATCCACTAGTGGATCTATAGCCACAAAACTTACCTGGAAATTATCTTTTATGGTTCAGTATAAAATAAATTGATTAGAATAATTTTTCAGATTTATAAAAGTGAAACTTTTAGGTGTACAAAAATAAAATTAAAAATTGTCATTTAATTCTCATCCTTTTTTATTTTTCATAGTAAAAGCCAAAACGTTTAAAGATAGAAGTTGGATGGTACTTAACGGAGAATGGAAGAATTTAACAATATTTTTTCTTCAAGATTAAAACTAGAAGTTTATTTATATTTATTTGGTTAATTAATACTATGATCATTTCATTTTTAATCCAATTTATCTAACATCTATCGATAAAAATATAACCAACGGTATATCAAAAATAATTTCTCTACATAAAATCTATTGTACACACTAAATTCTCCAAATTTCTAATATTAGAATAAGTATATTATTATTGTTATTGCTATCAATTATCATTATGTAATATTTCTGACTCAAAAATAAAATAAAATTTTGAAGTATGTGAAACAAGACAAAAGAGAATAAGAAGAGAGTATCAATCAACCACAAAAAATCACAATTTACAAAAAAGAAAGAAAAGTTTTTCTTCTGTTTCTCTTTTGACAGTGATGAGAAATCAGTGAGCGGAAGGTGAAAAAAAATGGCACAATGTCAATGGCAACCGCATTTTCAAACAAGATTGAAGAAAGATGTTTCTTGGAAATGCAGAGGCCTACAATGTATTTCAATTAACAGAGACAAAGGCAAAGGAATTCGTAATTGGAAAAAAAGATTGCAGATGCCACAATGTTGCAGCAGTTCATTTCCAGTTTCATCAATAACAACGAGGGAATTAGAAGTGGGGTTAATCAATTCAGAGGGAAAACAAAGAGGAGAAAATGAAGTGGGATGTTTTGTGAATGAAAATGGATGGAAAGTGAGAAGAATGATTGAGACTGAACAAGAAATGAGGAATGTTGCTGCTGTTCAAGCTGAAGCCTTTTATGAACCTCTTCTTATCTTCAATGATTTATTCTTTCAATTCTTTCAGGTTCTTCATTTTTCTAGCTGTTTCTATTTTTCAATAATTTGTTCTGCCCAATATCCTGTTCTTGATTTTTCTGTCTTTGAACTCTGTTTGTACTGTTTTCTGCATTATTTTGTATTTATGGAGGTTGCGGATTAGGATTGTAGGTAGTTGAGCATTGTCTCACTTCCCAGCAGGATAGATTGATGCATTGTATCTGTTTCTCGATTCTTATTTTGTACCACTGGTAGTAGCATTTGTCTCGTAGCTGGCTTATCTTAGGACCTTTGTTATTCCTCGTTATTCATTGTGCTTTAGTTATCACATTAGTTTGTTATGGTTGTTGCCCCTCTTGTGTTAGCTGCTATGATCGGAGAGTCTTTTGGAAACAGTCTTTCTAGTAGTAAGATTTACGTACACTCTACCCTTCTCAGACCCACATTTGGAACTATACTGGATTTGTTGTTGTTGATGATGATCTTTCTAGAAAACAGATGGGGGCATGCAATTTGAAAATGAGAAGAAGAATGAAGATCATATATTTGTTTCAGTTTCATATATCTGTTATTAGGAAATGAATTTGGCTGTATTTTCTATCTGTTATTCTATAATCCCACCAGCACTGTTCTATCTGTTATTATTCATGCATTAGTGCTATTTTTATCAACATAATAAAGTGAGAATTATGATTATGTAGGCTGAAGTACTTTCAGGACTACTTTACAGACTGAAGAATTCTCCACCAGACAGGTAAAAATCGAACTTAGGAATGAGGTTGCATCTTTATTTTCTTTTCTGTGGAGTATATCGTTACCTTGTTGATAAGAAAATCTAGGTGTATTAAACTATGCTTCAGTCCTAAACAAGAAAATCTAAGTGCATTGCGATTGTTTAATTAATGCAGGCAAAAATAATAACATAACTTCATTCTCTGCTATGGTAATTCTGAATTTGTCTTGATGGACTCTAGTCTTATATGTACAATATTGTATTCTGCAAGAAGGTCTAAAGAAATTAGATTATTGCAAATGGACTATATTTGAGTTATGATGGTTTCCTTCATTTCTAATCAAGCTCAAACTAATTCAATGTTTTTACAAAATTTCGAATAGATAACCAACCTATAGTTACACTACTCCAACTAGATCAGTGTTGTTCTTGTTCTAAAAATGAAAATAGTCATCAAGTTCAGTTCAACTTTCTGAAATTCTTGACTAAACAGGTATGCATGTTTAGTTGCGGAGGCCTCAACTGACACTCCTGAGGTAGAACAAGATCTTGTAGGAGTCGTTGATGCTACAGTGTATAGAGATACTGATGTTCTTCAGTTTCTTCCGGGAGCAACAGAATATATCTATATTTCTGGGATCGCTGTATTGAACAACTTCAGGTCCAAGATTTAATACTTGTCCATTAAAGTGAATTGATGCTTTCTTTGACATGGCGCAAAATACTTTTTGTTATACAATCATTTGTTTATGTTCATTATTTCCAGCTGTTAAAAATGTCTTGAATTATCAAGAGAACATCTTAAACAGATCTGGGAAATATAACTAACATCATTCAAGATTCAAGTCCTTTAATAACATAATCGCTCTACTGCTACTTCATAATAATAGTCACTGAACAGAAAAAAACCCATTCCTCTATCAGACCTTTTCAACCAAACACTAGCAAGATGATTCAGGAAATAAAATTCTTTAACAAAACATTATTCGTCATATTCCACTTGCGAACATAGATGGTGATCCTATGTTATAAATGATGTACAGATGAGTTATGTCTACCTTTTGCTGTCAAATGGTATTTGATTTGACACATTGGAATGTTGATTAACTGTAGGAGGCGGAAAGTTGCAACTGCTTTGCTCAAGGCCTGTGATGTTCTTGCAAGATTTTGGAGTTTTGAATATCTAGTCCTTCGGGCTTATGAGGATGATTTTGGTGCTCGACAATTGTATACAAATGCAGGTTATATAGTAGTTTCAAGTGATGCTCCATGGAAGACAACTTGGATTGGTCGAAGAAGACGAGTTCTTATGGTTAAACAGGTCTCACCTGAATCAACTTACATTCATTGAAACAGAAATTTCGATTCAAGTCTTTTTAACAGTTCCTTATCAAATTAGTCATTCCAAAATACCTGAGGAAAATTAGAATTCTGCAAATTAATATATATAAGGTGTACAAACCTATGGCATTTGATCTTCAGGGAAGAGTATTTTATGAATCTTGTAAATATTCCCTCTATCTTCAGAGTTACTTAGCTGCTCTGCTGTTCTATCCTCATATCAAATACCTTAACAAGATCTAATTCTCTTGTTAAATCTTGTGGATGACTGGGGTCGAATTATGGTAAAATTTTTGGCTAACTTTTCATTGACTAAATTTAAGAAAATAAGCACATTGAAGAAGACAAATTATTAAGAAAACCAAAGAATGTGGTGCAAATGTAAAGAAATACATACAGTAGGGAGTATTGTGTATCCGCAAAATCATTGACAAAATGTCGTTTTAAGAAGCTTCAACGTCTTTCATATGGTATCGGAGAATCCAATCCTCGTTCTATCATCATTAGCTTTATTCTCTGTACATCCTCTATTAGACCAGCATTCTTATAAATCTTCATCAAAAGCTCAAAATTATGGTCATTATCTGGCTCCAACTCGAACAGATGTTGAGCAGCTACCTCTCCTATTTTAACATTGCCATGTCTGTAGCACGCATATAACAATGCACCCCAAACTGTTGGTCCAGCTTCGAATTCCATTCTCTTCATTACAACATTAAAAGCTTTGTCTATCAATCCTAACCTCCCATATAGATTTACCATACAACTATAATGTTCCATCCTTGGACTAATATCATACCTCTCTTGCATAATTCTAAACAGCCTCTCCGCGTCCTCTAGTTTCCCTAAATGAGCACATGCCGACAACAAAGACACAAATGTGACACTGTCCGGTAGGTCACCAGATTTCACCATCTTCTCAAAGTACAATAGGGCTTCAGGATGCTTACAGTGAGCTGAAATGACTGAATTCCATGACACTACATCCCGTTCATGCATATTTTCAAACAACCATCTCACTTGCTTCAACTTTTTTTGCTCTGCATAGAAATCAACCAATGAGTTAACGATGGACAATTCATGATTAGTCCCTCGACGAAGAACCCATCCATGAATTTGTTTCCCAATTGAGAAAGGTATTCTGGCCACAAGTAATGCTGATATAGAAACAGAGTCAGGTTCTATTCCATCACGTATCATAAGACGAAACAGGTTTAACGCCTTAGTTACGAGCTCATGCCTCATGTATCCAATGAGCATTGAATTCCAAGAAACCAAATCCTTTGTCCCAATTTGATCAAAGAGTTTTTGAGCCTTAACAATATCACCACATTTTGAATACATATCAACAAGTGCATTTAGAATAAACCCATTACTTCCAAATCCACGACGAATCACATGCCGATGAACTTCCTCTCCTACATGAATCAACCCAACACCTCCACAAGCCTTCAATGCACGTGGGAATGTGTAACAATCAGGCTCCACACCCTCTTCCACCATCTGAAAATACATGGCTAACGCATCTTCAAACAAACCCTTCTCAGCATATCCTGATATAATCGAATTCCAAGGAAATGCAGAGTTATTTCTTTTAGGCATTTTATCAAACAGTTGATGGGCCTTCTGAGTTTGTCCACTGCACGCGTAAAGTCTAATCAGCTTCGATGAAATACCCACGTTTTTACGTAAAAGCTTCTCGGGAATGAGGTTATGAACACGGATACCATGATCAATTGCCTGCAATTGAAAGCATGTTTCTAAAAGGGAAGCAAAGATTTGTGGGTCGTAAATATCAGTGCCATTTTTCACAGTGACTTCTAAATTCCTAATGACAGTTTCAAGAGCTTCGAGTTTAGTTTTGGGTGGGATTTTCTGATTGGAAAGCAGCTGGGTTTGGCCTGATTTTTGCAGACTGATGCGGCGGCTTTTTGGGTTTTCCATATGAAGTTTCTGGTTTTTTGTGTTTTCATTTGTAAAAGAGAAAGTTGGGTGTGTGGATTTTGCAGAGTGATGATGCGGCGATCTGAAGTTCATGCTAATGGTAATGTTTTGCTGCAATGTTAGAGCCATTGTCTCCATTTGCAGTATTTTCTGCTCAAGTGAATTAGTGAAGAATCATGGAAAAAGCAACTGAGAAGAGTCCTATGCCCTCAATGTGTATGTATGAATTATATATGTTACTTGAATATATTCACTAATTTGAATTCACTTTAGGAAGAGACTGACTCTTTTTCTAGTATTATTTAAAAGAAATATCTTGAATTTTAGTAGTAGAGTGAGTTCCATTTTGGATGACTTCGGGTGAGCACAGGCTAAAACCTTTACCATAGGACAATTTTTGATAGTATTAAATTAAGAAAGAATATAAATTAATAAGTATATAATTGTACTTTTTAACTTGGTCTCAAATATATTTATGCCAAAAGTAAATAGTTGTATAAAGTTGAACAAGTAAATATATGTATCCTATGTGACTTTATACAAAACAAGCTAAGTGTATTTCACGTGAATTGTCATAAGACATATATATACTTTTCCAATTTTATGTAAGTTTAAATATCTATTTTCGCCCGTTCAAAATAAGGAGATTCAAACTATTCTAAAGTAAAATAGGAAGTGTTCATCAGTATAAGTTAAAATGAATCCTTTTTAAGTTAATTATTTTTTTATTATGTAAGGTAGGAAAAAGGGGATTACATGTGAAATCAAATTATCACCGGTGAAACGAAGGGACCAAATGATTCCGCCACTCCTGCGCACGTTAGCAACAGGCTCCATTGTTCTTCTTGGTGGAGCTATCTCTATCTCTGCACTCACCACTTCAGTTCTTCGCCGTAAAGCCTTAATCAATAAGGTAAATAATTGCAGGGTAATATATCTATTTTTCAAAAATCCCATTTTCAGATTTTCATCTTCTTTGATTTTGTGTGGCAGGAAAAGTTTGGGAAGCTTTGTTTGTATTGTAGAGGAAAAGGATTTTATAAATGTAAGCTTTGCAAGGCAAATGGTACAATAAAATGGTCACCCCTTCATGATCCTGTATTTGTAAATCCATGTGTTTGTCCTACTTGCGAGGGGAACAAGTGAGTTCACTTCCATTTCAACTTCTCATAGTTTTTTTTGAATTATTCTAAGAATGAGATTTTGAGGATTTTGCAGGATACAGCGATGTCTCAATTGTTTGGGAGATGGACGGGTATAAGAGCTAAAATGCACTCTACCTGTTTGATAAAACGACAATGCCAACATTTGGAATCCGGATGTGTTTTTTTTTTCTTCAAAAATTGTGGGTACGGGAAATGGGAAAAGATTATAAGGTGAAGAATCGAATCCAATTTAGTAGCCAACCAACTGAGCAACTAAGATTTTCCAATTCAGAGGTGTAATTCTTGAGCAAACATTTTTATTAAGGACGATGTTTATTTTTCAAAAGGTTCATTTGGATTTTGATATAACTTCACAACACAGTCATTCCTTAGTGGCTCGTTGCTACAATTTCTACTTATTAGCTTGTTCTGTGCTTACTCACTTCATTCGCTCTCGGTAGCGGTTTTAAAGCAACAAGATCAAGTTTTGCACAAATGGAAATAAAAACAAAAACCAATAAAGTACCCCATTGCTAATAAACATTATCAATACTCCATTATAATAAAAGATTGAAATAGGCCGAGCAGGGTGAATGCATTTGTAGATCTCTGAAGCATTTCTCCACCTGCCTTGTGAAATACTACTGAAATTTAACAAACCACACAACGATACAAATATATGCTATCAACTGGGCCAAACCCAGAGTCCTTATTTTATTTTGCCACTAGTAACTAAAAGCCATTGTATACTTATAGTGCTAAACGTAATAAGCTTTCTCAAATTTAGAAGGGAGGCATTGCTGGAGCAATCATGAAATTAAGGGCATTTCTATCGACGCCACACCCACCAATGCATTCATCAGTTTCAATCCAATCCTTGAGTTTATCAGCCTCAATTTCTGATGTTTGGCATATATATACTTCTTCACCACTCCTAAGAATAAAGATGACTTACCTAGACTGACTTGTACCAAGAAAGCAAGTGCGAAAGCAACAATGGCTAAAGTGTTCAAGTTATATAATGAAGCCATTATGATAACTTGTTAACTTATAAATACTTGGCTTATCAACTCTATTGCCTTGCAAGTTTGTTTCTTTTTGATTTTACTTAGAACTACATAATGGAAGTGATAAGAAATCCTAGCTATTTATAGAGGCAGATTTTCATGCAATTTGAGAAACTAGTAGTAGTATGTGTATGAATTACTGTTTGATCAATTGACGATGTCAACATTTTATTAATTAGAGAAGAAAGTAGTTAGTGGTCAAAAGACTTCGCCAACAGTGGCCGTCTTGGTTTAGAAATTCCACATATTTAGGTTTAGTTGAAAAAGTGAATTTTCTTGCACTCATACTCAGTGGCGGAGTCAGAATTTTCAATAAGGGGTTCAATATCTGAAGAACTAGACACTCGAAATAGCCGAAGGTGATTCAACATTTATTATATATACCTAAAAAATTATTTTAACCATATAAAAATAATATAATTTTCCTTGAAAGGGGGTTCCGTGATGATAAGGTGGCTCCGCCGCTGCTCATACTTGTCCACTTTTCGGTTTCTATAGAAAAAAATATGTTTTCCAAAGGGATTTAACTTTCAACTGATAGATTTCTGACACATGTTTAACTTGTAAGGCTCTTATTAGTAGTACTAGACATAGGCACTCGTGCCAGCACAAGAGTCGTTCAAATTTTTATATTATATTTAAATATTTGAAATTGTTAATTATTGTGATTTATAATATTTTACATAATTTTCAAATAATATATAGTATTTTCAGTGTCCTAATTTACGTGGCACATATGAAATTTCAAGAGTCAATCGATTTCTTTATATGCATTTAAATATTCCAAGTTGTTAATCATAGTAATTTATAAAAGAAAATATTACGTCATTTTCAAATAATATGTGTTACTTTTTTTTTTCCAATTTATGTGACATCGATAGAATTTCGGGAATCAATTAATTTTTTTATGTTTATTAAATATTTTAAATTATTAGTTATCGTGATTTATAGTATTTTTTATGTGATTTTCAAGTATACAACAAACTAAATGAAAATAAGATAAATAAACTTGAAAAATAAAGAAAGTAAATAAATTATGTAAACTGTTTCTAGAGTCTTCTATATCGTGATTTATAATTAGTCACATTATCTAATTATATTTAATTTATTTTCTTGAGCTTTATGTCAAATTAGAATTGAACAAACAAAAAGAATTATTGTATATATATTCTATTAGTTAGAAATGGAGTTCTTTTAGAAATGGAATGGAATCTAAGGTGCATGAGTTGCAGTGGCTACTAAGGCTTTTAGCTTGTGACACCTAGGATAGGATTTGGAAAATGAAAAAGATTTCACCTAAAACAATTGTGGGTAGGGAAAGTGGGAAAGGATTACAATAGGGAGAATCGAACCTTCACGATTCAATGATGTTTAGTTTTCAAAAGGCTCATTTGGATTTAGATATAACTTCAATATAACCAGCTCGGTGCCACAACTTCTGTCCTTAACTCACTTCATTCACTCTCGTTCGGTAATGGTTCTAAAGCAACAAGATCAAGTTTTGCACAAATGGAACTAAAAACAAAAACCAATAAAGTACCCCATTGCTAATAAACATTATCAATACTCCATTATAATAAAAGATTGAAATAGGCCGAGCAGGGTGAATGCATTTGTAGATCTCTGAAGCATTTCTCCACCTGCCTTGTGAAATACTACTGAAATTTAACAAACCATACAACGATACAAATATACGCTATCAACTGGGCTAACCCAGAGTCCTTATTTTATTTTACCACTTGTAACTAAAAGCCATTGTATACTTATAGTGCTAAATGTAATAAGCTTTATCGAATTTAGAAGGGAGGCATTGCCGGAGCAATCATGAAATTGAGGGGCTTCACTTCTGATTCCGGTGCTGGTGCAACAAATCCCGAGCTTCTAATCTCAGCCATTTCACGACGTCCATTTCCCTTTTGCTCTGCACATAACTTGGGTAGATATACACCTATACCCAATCAAAGTCATACCCATTAATCATCACGTTATATATAATTAAATCATTTAAATTATAGACGTATGATAAGTAAATACCTTCACCAGCAGCAAGATTGAAATAGAGATCAATAATGTTAGGACAGTTGTTGTAGCAAGCAGAGGAACAGAGCTTGCTAGTAAAGCGAGACTCAAGCAGAGCGTCAGAAGAAATGCCAAGGGCATTTCTATCGACGCCACACTCCCCAATGCATTCATCAGTTTCAATCCAATCCTTGAGTTTATCAGCCTCAATTTCTGATGTTCGGCATATATATACTTCTTCACCACTCCTACGAAGATGTTTCTCTAAAACACAACGCTTACCCGTGCTCGATATTGCAAATGCACAAGAGTCTTCATTCAAATTCTCGCACGCAATGTCCCCTGCATATGGTTACGCACACATAACATGTTATAACAAGTTAAATTACACTGATGAAATTAATTAAAATCCATGAAGAATAAAAATGACTTACCTAAAGTGACTTGTACCAAGAAAGCAAGTGCGAAAGCAACAATGGCTAAAGTGTTCAAGCTATGTAATGAAGCCATTATGATAACTTGTTAACTTGCTTATCAACTCTATTGCCTTGCAAGTTTATGTTTTTTTTTGTTTTTGCTTAGAACTACTTCAAATAACTATTTATAGAGGCAGATTTTTCATGCAATTTGAGAAACTAGTACTAGTATGTGTATGAATTACTATTTGATCAATTGACGGTGTCAACATTTTATTAATTAGAGAAGAAAGTAGTTAGTGGTCAAAAGACTCCGCCATCAGTGGCCGTCTTGGTTATAGAAATTCCACACATTTAGGCTTATTTGATGTTGAAAAGTGAATTTTCTTGCACTCATACTTGTCCACTTTTCTGTTTCTATAGAAGAAAGAAGAAGATATGTTTGTGAAAAAGGATTTAACTTTCAACTGATTGTGCAAAGGTTTATGACACACGTTAACTTTTAATAGGCTGATGCAGAGTAATCCTTCCATGGTTTCATATTACTTGATCATTTTGATCTAACATAACTCTTAAGAAAATTTTAATTAGATGTATATTTTACTAAATTAACTTTATAATAATATTTAGAATGCTAAATTTAACTACTAATATTTTATATAGTTATTTAATACTAAAGGGTCATTTGATTGGAAACAAGTTATCTTGAAATTAATTATCTGGATGATGGGATAAATAATTCAAGGACTAAACAATATCTCCAATCAAACACAAGATAAAATAATCGTACATTTTATTCTGAAATTATTATATCTTATACCTCACACCAAAAGACTCATGAGGGTTGTATGAGAAAGAAGTACCAAAACTCTCATGATTTACTAGAATGAACAAGTAAAATATCTATTTGATGTAAATAGCAAGTAAAATGCAACAGAGGGAATATTAGTTTTAGGATTAATGTATATACACAAATAGTACTTCCTCCATTTCTAAATAAGTGGTACTTTTAGTTTATGTACACCCTTAAGAAAACTCATTCATTCCTAGAAAGTAAGATGTATTTTTACTAATTTAGCCTTAATAAATACCTTGAACAAGTTGTAGCTCTATAGTAATTTCTGCATTATGTAAAAATCTCCTTTTATATAAAAAGGTAAAATTGGAAGAACGTTATTATTGTATTTTTAATTGCCTTAAAAAAAGTAGCTTTTAAGTCAAAAATAAAAAGTCAAACTTAAATGACTTTTAAGTCAAGAAATAAGAAGTAGGAAATACCTACTTTTGGTTTTTAACTTATTTTTAACCTTGTCAAACACTTCCTAACTTATTTTAAGTTATTTTTATATTTGTTAAACATTTTCAGAAGTCAAAAACTGACTTAAAAAATATTTGACAAACTTTTAAGCTAATCCAAACTCTGTCTTAGTAAAAAATTCAACAATTCACTTACTATGACTACTTCATTTTGGTTTATTTGCTTTGAAAACACGATTTTTTTGCTCCGGACTCCTACTTTTGACTGTATATGTGTTGAATTGTCCAGTGAAAGTTTGGGTATTCTGTTACCTGTTCAGTGGTTCAATGTCACAATTACAAATGACGTTTAACTAATTGCTTCTGATTAGTTGTGAGTTGTGACAATTCGATGTTTTCCTAAATCCTAAGCACTTTGTTTAACTAGCTACTCTCTCTGTCCCTAATTACTTGTCCATTTTTTCTTTTTTAGTTGTCCTTAATTACTTGTTCATTTTGACAAATCAAGAAAGGACAAAAAAATTCTCTATTATACCCTCAATTTTTTACTTTGAAAAATGTAGAATTTCTTGAAAATCTTAAATTTTCAATTCATCCACTTCATAATTAATAGATGTAAAATGATAAATTCAA